AGCAATAGATTTTTGGACAAAATAATATTACCTGCAATACATTTTTGGAAAAAACATATTACCAGCAATAAAATTTTTTTCGGTATTATATAACCCATAGAAGTTGATATGCCGTAAAAACAAAACAAAAACAAAAAAAGACCCTTGCGTCTTAGTGGAATTATCGCCTTGCTTGAGGTGGATGGATTGAAAAAAAATCAGTTATTTTAAGGTTATCAGTATTTTATGCTGCAGTTAGTAATATTTTATTTCTGTTTGTCTTCCAATATTATTCTGATTTTATTCTTTAAATTTTAAAGCAAACGCTCAAATATAAGCCAATCATTTCGTTTTTATTGAGTTCAGAGAAACGATACCTCGTTTTTATTATTATTATTATGTAGTCGCAAATTGAACTGAAAATTGTATTATTTTCCCAGCTATAGTAATTTTAATGGTATTGCTCTAACAGAATTCTTACTGTGATGTGCCGCTTCTGCGGTTATAAGCAAACACCAACAAGCAAAAATCGGAACATTTTAATATGGATTTATTTTCTGTCTTACTTTCATTTTATCTTTCTACTTTTTACAGGAAAGGGTACAAATGAAAATCTTTAAAACTGACAGGGTTTACACTTTCACTGAAGCAGACGTTAAACAGATGAATGTTATCAAATTTACTTTCTTTTTTTTCCTTCATTATTTATTTCCTTTTCTCACTCAAACTGAACAGCGTCTCGGATATGTCTTTTTCGTCTTTCTTCTCGTTTAAAACGAGCATGAAAAATCGGCAGGCCGTAACGAAGGAAGGAACAAACCGAATTATAATATGATGTTTTTTTTTTTCTTTGTTCTTTTTATTCCTATAATTCCATTTCTTTTTTTTCTTTGTCTTTTTTCTTTGTCTTTTTTTTTTTCTTTGTCTTTTTTCTTTATGCTTTCCTTTTTTTTTTTTTTTTTTTATCCTCGTTTTCGTTTTTATCTTTCTTTTCTTCTTTTTTCAATTTTAATCTTATTTCTTGAATGATTTAATTTAGATTATAATCATATCTATAGAGTCATCCTCTTCTCAGCCATCATCTCAACATACCAAGCTCCATTTCTACTAGTCCTGGTCATGAAAATGAACGTCATCCGGCAGCAAAGCAGGTCGGAAAACTGGACATTTTGAGGAGGGTAGAACCACCTCTTTATTGCTGTTGTTCCTAGGTCTACCCTGACCCGAGGTGGTCGCACCTGTTAGGGGTCCTAGATATGGGCAAATAGTAAACCCCAGACAAAAAAAAAAAAAAAAAAAACTATGAATGTATAAAAATACATTTTTATAGTAAAAATACCATCAATATATTTTTATATAAAAAATATTACCAGCAATACCTATTTATATATAATTAACAATACAATTTTATAGCAAAATGAACAATGCATTTTATGTGTAGTTGAAGGCATATAATTTCGTTCAAAATATTTAGATTTCGGCAGTAAATAATCCATAGAGATTGATATGCCGCTAAACAAAAACAACCAACTAAATCCACGGAATGCATTGCTCTAATATAGGAACTTTGTCAGTTCACAAACTTTTGCATGTCTGGCGAGGAACCCAATACGGAAACGTTTTAAATCTCATCAGGATTACGACAAAGAGGAAAGGAGTACCCCAGTCTATTTAACCCTTTCCTAGACTATGCTCTGCACATTCCACACATGTACCTAACTCCTGGTGTTATCCTCTATCTTTATAAAAGCGAGACTAGTCCTAAAAAGGACGACTGTTGTCATATTTGGGTGGGAGCTTCCCAATTCTCACTTTCCCGTCTCGATAGATTTCAAAAGCTCCCCAGAGTCCTTATAGGTGACAAATTATTTTCTATCTTCAAAAATCTCACTCTCTTTCTCTTTCTTTCACAGACGAGAAGTGGCAAGTCTCTCACTGCCCTATCGCTAATTCCCGAGTAAGTGCTCAAACGAACTGTATTCATTCGTTCCGCCATTTCTAAACCTTCAAGGCCAACATCCGGCATGTAATTCACATTGTAGCAAACCACATTCCCTCCGTATTTCATTCGTGAGATGTAAGTTCCAATCGAGCAGCTTCTTCTCACGAACCACTGCTTTATAGAACCGACTCTCAACAGGATGTTTCTCCGATCACTACTATCTGAAACTCTTCAAGTCTAGGGTTACCCGCTTTCTTCCCCTCCTATTTGCATAATATGCCACTTACTGTTACTCTCTATCTCGAGTACCCCTTACTCCGGGCATTATACAGGGTGAACCTCACTGTAAAAAAAAAAAAAATTACAGATGTAAATGTTGCAGTTTTTTGTGTATACTATGTAACTAGTGGCCCAGTCAAAATGACTTAACTCCCTTTATAGTCCACCAGTAGAAGGTTAACCAATCAGAAGACGTAGAATATTCAATCCGTCGTGTATAAAGGCGGCCATTTTTGTTCACTCTACCCGAATATCCAGTCCAGCTTGTCAGGCGAAGAGAACCAGAAGGCCGAACTATGCTCTGCTACTTTTATCGAAATATCCACTGCTAACCTGAACAACGCTTTCCTACTGTCTTCGAAATATTCACTGCTAACCTCTGGATTCTATACTCAAAGACGACCGTCATGATGACTAACAGTAAAGAGATAAGCAGCGATATAAGAGATAATTTCGTCTATTACATCGCAAACGAATTTAATAATAGAAGGCAGCAATCCTGCTTTACATCGCGAGGTCAATGTTCTGATGATTAGGAAAAATATGCTGATGGCATAGGTATTTATAGTTGGTTAAAGAAATAATGGAGAACAGACAATCAGCATTCTCTATCAAGTGTTCAAAGAAATTGGAGTCCAGAAATATCTTTTAAAATCAGAAACTGTGAACTTTTTTCTTTCTTTTTTTTCTGTTAGTCATGGGCACGTAATTCAGGGTGCAAGAGCCAATCAAGTTAGATGACGCCCTATGGAATTGTATTAATGTAAGAAAGAACAAGCCTTAGGAGTACAGAGTTGCAGTAGACTTAAGATGGGACCGAAAACCCAATCCTAAACAGGGAACAAGGAATAAACCTCTACTTCTGCTCGAAAGAGTGTGGAAGAGTGTGAACCGGGAGTATATATCTACTCTTTTTATCTGGAATTGGAATGAAAGCAGTGATGCTACATAAACTAAATCCATCATAAATATTCAGAATGTAGAATTAGTAAATACCAAAAAAAATTAAATAACTCCGTGTATGAATCAGTTCCAACAAACTTAGCGTAGGAGATAAGAAAGCTAGATGAAGAATAGGCTACGATAAAGATAGTTTCGCTCATCATCGTAAATTTCTACAAGACCAAAATACTAACATGTACTTAAATAGCCTCTTCAGAACAAGACTTTCATTTGGCTATCATGGATGGGGCCAAAAGGTTTAAAATATATCTAGACCGTTTGATGTATACAAACCCTACCTAGAATTAATGGTTAAAATGATTTTGAGCGAGTGAAGTCTGAGAGTCTTGGCAAAGGCATCCTTCATAAAATCTTGTAAACTGACGCTACAGAATCACCAACAAAGATCTGTTCCAAATAACGGAAAACATATCATTTTAGGAGTTTCAACAAAAGCAACAATTAAAATAGATATCACAGTTTGGCTTGGGTTGTTGTTTTTTTTTTTCCTTTTGTTTTACGGTATATCAACCTCAATGGGTTATTTAATGCCGACAAGATTTTTATTGCTCGTAATATTTTTTCAAAAATGTATTGCTGGTAATATATTTTTTTCTTCAAAAATGTATTGCTGGTAATTTTTTTTCCAAAAATATATTGCTGCTAATAATAAAAAAAAAATGTTCTGATCAGCTATATTTTCTAGATCTACCAGTTCAGACCTTTACAGCAAAGATCTGCATTCCAAGTATAAAGAGTGAACCATTCTCGTTCCTTTCGTATTCTTTTATTAAAAAGGAAATTCCATTCTGATAGCATCTTTACGGAACAGTCACTCTCGAGGATGCTTCGAGGGTCAACACTAATGTATCCTTTATATAATGTACAATTTTTACCTCTTCCTCATATGTCCATAAAACAAAATCATTTAATAGTTTGGTTTGGTTTGGTTTGGTTTGGTTTACGGCATATCAACCTCAATGGTTTATTTAATGCCGATAAGATTTTTATTTACAGTATTTACATTTGTCGGACTATTGTCCTCATCTTTGTCGCCATATTTGTCACAACGTTTCGGCCGTTGTACGCTCCGGCCTTCTTCAGGTGGTTGGAATTTCGAACTGAACCCTTTATTTCGATCGCTGGGGTAGACTGTTCTAGTTCCACGTGCCATGATGGATGTCAGTTATCAGTTATCTCCTGCTAATTTTCCCTCTGAAAGTTCTCCACTGCCTTAACCAGGAATTGAACTGGATCTAACCAACGCCTTTATCCACTGTGCCATGTGTCCTTGAGGACATCTGGGTATGAACTTCTGAGTATTATAAACCTAATGTTTTCAGTATCATTTTTACCAGTGCTCATATTGCAATTTTTTGCTGTTATCATTGCAGTGACAGACCCAAAGAAGGTGAGTTCAAATTCCAACCACCTGAAGAAGTCCGACTAATGTAAATACTGTACATAATACCTCATCTCAGAAATATAGACAGACTCTGAAGATTTTTATTGCTGAAAATAATTACCATTTATGAATACCGTTCAATGACATTGAGCAATAAGTCTTGAAACTGTATTATTTTTTTCAAAAATATATTGCTGGTATTTTTTATAGATCCATTGCTGGTAATAATGTATTGCTGGTAATAGTTTTTCCTTTAAATATTCATTTTTTACAAAAAATGTATTGCTGGTATTAAAACCAATTTTTACACTTTCATAGTGTTTTGACTCAAGTTTTCACCTATTTACCCATAGCTTGGACCCTAATAGGTGCTACCACCCTGGTGCTTCTCAAAACCTTCCGATCAGAGGCCTTGCTGTTGGACGTAGTTTATCGTCTTACCCAGGACGTTTGATGTCACATGTAACGCGAAGAAAACATAATGATGTCATTAAGACGTTTTTCTCTTTTCATTCATTCAATGTTTCTTTCTCTCTATCTTTCTCTCTGTCCCTCTCTTTTCATTCAGTCACTGTTTCTTTTTCTTTTCATTTAGGCATTTGCCTTTCTCTCTCTCTCTCTCTTTCTCTCTCTCTCTCTCTCTCTCTCTCTCTCTTCATCCACAAATTGTTTCTTTCCGTCTTTTCGTTTAGTCATTTTTTATTTCTTCCACTCTATTTTAATTCAATGTTTATTTATTTCAAGGACGTTTTTAATCATTTCACCCCAAGCATGTAAATAAAGCCACTATGACGCAAGGGATTACTGATTGTGAAAGAATATGAGAAAAAGAATGGTGATTGGAATTTCGAACTGAACCCTTTATTTCGTCAACAGGGTTATATTGTTCTAGTTCCACGTGCCATGCCTCTTCCGGATGTCTCAGTTATTTTCCTTTAAGTCAACTTTCCAAGTTTTTTCGTTCACCGCTGTTGCAGCCTGGTATTGAACTCACAACTCTTACGATCCAGTCACTGGTTCTAAACAACATCTTTATCAATTGGCCCAGTGGATAAAGACAGCCGGCAGAGACATGGTACATGAAACTAGAACAATATACCCCGGTTGACAAAATACAGAGTTCGGTTCGATATTCCAATCGCCTGAAGAAAGCCGAAGCGCACCAAGGTCGAAACGCTGTGAATATGGCAATGAAGATGAGGATAACAATCTGCATAATGCAAATAATGTACATAATCATAATACCTCATCTCAGAGATATAGACAGATAGTGAGAAGAATTGTTTAGCACGACACAGTGAACCAATTTTCCTAGCAGCACACCTAGCAATGGATTCAATATAATCTTTCCACTTCATATCAGAAAAAATAGCATGAGAAGGCGTATGAGTCGCCATGCTGATGAAAGGCATAAAGGGTGACCATTTTCATACAGGAGTAAATAGTTGTGTCATCAGCATAGATAGCGATTTGATACCTGATGACATATAGACGATCGATGAAGAAAATAGGCAATAATGTAGGTTCAAGGATAGCGTCCAGGAAGACATCGGTATTAACGCAAAAAGATCTAGAAGAGTGGCCGTTCAGGACAATTTTCATTTCGTGATTTGATAAGAAAGATTGAAACAGGTAAAAAAAAATATCGTTCAGAAATACCATAATCTTCAACTTTTGAAAAGAACCAGCGTGCTAAATCCTGACAAACGCTTTCGAGATATGCAAAGTAAGATTCATCATTCTTTTCTATAGCTTAATATACGTTTCCAGCACCAACTTTTAAAACATCAGCAGTTGACATAGAGAAGCGAAAGTCATATTGCTTGTTTGAAAAAAGATTCTGCTAGGTGAGATGCTTAACAAATTTTGGTGTTGATTGGAGCCTCTAGTACATAGCCAAAAAACAAAAAAAAAAACAAAAAAAAACGCTAATAGACAAATAAATGGATCAGTTGGTTCGACTGAGTTCTTAAAACTGGAACTGCAAAAGAGGATTTCCAACAAGCAGGGAAGCAAGAAGCAGCAAGGCATTTATTATAGATCGTAGAGAAGACGAGCCATTTCAGGAATTCTTAAGGACTATTGTCGGGATACCATGTGGACTTACACATGTTTTGTGAGCATCCAGTTTAGAGAAACCGTAGACGATGTTATATGCATATCACTCAACAGGGACTTAGTTCTAGGGAGGGAGGCGGGCAAAGATAGTTCAGATCCATCAAGAGTAGAAATGAAAAATAATTTACGAATAAAATATTCTGCTTTATCAGCAGAAGATAATAACACCTCAAATTGAGAGAAGAGAGGAGGATAGATAACTTACTCTTATTTAATAGAATATCGCAGAGTCGAGATTTGACATGAGGGCCAAAATTATTAGACGTTTTACGGTGCCTGATTCTGTCGGGGAGGAACGACTTAACTCCATTGAGCCAATAATAGTAAAAAAAAAAACAAACCAAGGAATTGTTATTGATTATTGAATGTTATTAGTCTTGACCTGACATTTCAACTTCATTCACTTTCCCACCGCGATAACGTAACTTCCATGTACCTTTTCTATAAATATATTCATTGTAATTGTTCTGATGAACCTTCATCTATGGTATCTAAACTTTATGAATTTAAGCGTGATAATAGAGTGGCGACTAGTTCTGATGATTTAACAGTTGAAATGGCTAGATGCAACCGTAATTTCTATGCTAAGAGGTTCTTCTCTCGCACTTCCCGTTTGTCGAAATCTATTCCGACTTGCTTTCCCAGTCATCTTTGAGCTTCAAAATTTAAATGCAATGTCAATCGTTATCTTCTGTCTTGTTAATTGCTGTTCTTTTATTGTTCTCTCTCCTTAATAGTGATTTTTTTCTTCTCATATTCTCTAATACCCAGTAACCTCTTGCGTCTTAGTGGCTTTATTGCTTTGGTTGGGGTGAATTGATTAAACATCAACAAAAAAGAGAAATGAGATTTATACTGTCAAATACGTTATTTCCTTAAGATACAAGCGTACAATCGGTTTTCCGGTTACTTTATGGACAGCTATTTTAATCTAAATATGCATTAGACTGCTATTGTTAATCAGCTGAAAACTGCAGAGCAAGGACGCATGACTGATAGGAAATACAGGTAACTCTTAAATTGTGTTTTGTTTGATATTCAACTGTTACCTGCAAATATCCTTGGTATGAATACAACTCTCCCGCCCCACCAGCTATGGGTAAATAGTAGGACAGACATAGTTCTAAAGCCTTGGGTGTCAACCAGTCTAGGAGAACGAAAAATCTAAATTCAAAATTGTATTTATCCCTGACGAAGCACTTACTATGCAGCTAAGGGAATTTATGAAATCAATAATGGAAAATTCGGTTATTTTGACAGGGTGTGAAAAACCGATAACTATGGAATAAAAGTCGATTAAAAATTAATTTTAGGGCCGTTTTGGAGTAGGGATTTAAGGACTAAGCACCCCATTCTCCTATATTTTTTAAATAACTAAAAATTGTGTGTGTTCAGATAAAACCCCACTACAGAAATACTAAGGGCGTACATTCTGGAGGAGGCTAGCCTCACCCATACATCTAAATAAGTATTAACTAAAAAAAAAAAAAAATCATGGGTTCCAGTCTACATAAAATTCCACTGCAACAATACCAGGGCCGTACTTTTTTGGATGGGCCGGGGTTTAGGAGTTAACCGCACCTCCAATATTTTTAAATAAATATTTTTTTAAAATAAGTATTTAATTACTATACACTGTTGTTTTCAAGCAAATAAAATCGATTTATCTAAGTAAAAATTAAGTTCTTGTATCTTCTTTTCAAATTGTTATTTTAGTAAAAAAGTAGTAAATAAATAAATAAATTTTAGATAGTTATTTCTTTTTAAAGACGCAAAAATATAACCTCATTTCTATTTGAAAAATATAAGGGAACGGAGTCGTAGTCCCCAAATACCTACTCCAGAACGGCCTTAAAAATTAATCTTTAATCGAATTTTATTCCATAGTTACCGAATTTTCCTAACTTATCAAAATTGCCAAATTTTCCGTTTAACTTATTTTTTCGTTAAACGTTACCAAATTTTCGTTGCCGAATTTTTTCCGTTCCGTTACGAATTTTCCGTTACTGAATTTTCGTTACCAAATGTTTTCGTTTCCGGAGTTTACGTTACCAAATTTTCCGTTGCCGAATTTTTCGTTACCAAATGTTCCGTTACCGAATTTTCGTTTTAAATTTTTACCCCGTTACCGAATTTTCCGTTACTGAATTTTCCGTTACCAAATTTTCGTTACTGAATTTTCGTTACCAAATTTTCCGTTACCGATTTTTCCGTTACCGAATTTTTCCGTTACTGAATTTTCGTTTTTTTTTTCGATTTTTCAAATTTTTCCGTTGCCGAATTTTTCGTTACCAAATGTTCCGTTACCGAATTTTCCGTTACTGAATTTTCGTTACCAAGTGTTCCGTTACCGAGTTTCCGTTACCGAATTTTCCGTTACTGAATTTTTTGTTACCAAATGTTCCGTTACCGAATTTTCGTTTACCGAGTTTCCGTTACCGAGTTTCCGTTACCGAATTTTCCGTTACTGAATTTTCCGTTACTGAATTTTTCGTTACCGAATTTTCCGTTACCGAATTTTCTGTTACTGAATTTTCATTACCGAATTTTCCGTTACCAAATTTTCCGTTAACGAATTTTCCGTTACCAAATGTTCCGTTACCGAATTTTTCGTTACCTAATTTTACGTTACTGAATTTTTCGTTACCAAATGTTCCGTTACTGAATTTTTCGTTACCAAATGGTCCGTTACCGAATTTTCCGTTACCGAGTTTCCGTTACCGAATTTTTCGTTACCAAATTTTCCGTTACCAAATTTTTCGTGTCCCCATCTAAGGAATGAATCGTTTGCATTGACTGGATGTGTCCCGACTACGGTCGATTCCGTCAAAGGTAATGGTAGCTTGTTAGTATTTTTTTTTTTTAATTTTTCTACTTTCTTTCCAGACGTGGTATTTTATGACCGTAATCATTATCTTTGGTAACAAAGAAAAGAATACTGAAATTGTTCCGTGACATCTGTCCTTCTTTACGACATCGAATATTCGACGATTTCCTCAAAGATGAAGAAGAGACTCGAGGCGACGAAGATGTGGTTCTACAGAAGGATGCTAAGGATATCATGGCCCCAGAGAGACAATGAGATCTTAGAGAGGTTGCAAACAAGGAGGAGGCTTATACTTAATATCAGGAAGAGGCAGCTGAAGTTCCTGGGACACATAATGAGGAAGGGGAGCCTGGTGAATCTTATACTCACGGGTCGAAAAGAGGGAAAGAGAGACAAAAGAAAACAACGCTTGACATACCTAGTGGACTTAAGCAAGTGGATGACAGAACGTGGTCTGGGGGAGGAAGCAGAGGGAAGGAACTTCTTGAGATCTGCATAGAAAGAGGTG